ATTACGCACAGCTCAACAGGATTCCTAATTCCTGCTAACTGCTCGTATTGGCAATTGGCATCTGATGTGGGTGGGTGTGTGTGTGTGTGTTAGTCCGTGAGTGTTTGACTATGTTGAGGTATTGAGATATTCGTCACGATTTCGAGTTTCGAGTAGCAGCAGCAGGAAACATCTTTGGTTTGTCTGCATATGAAATGACTTAGAGATTATCATAGAACTATTTATCGAAATAAGAGAGATATTATGTTGGGAAAAAGCATGAATAAATGTAACTAAGTAAAGTCTGTTCACATTGTCGCTATTAGAATAACTTTAACCTATTCAAATTCCACATTCCCTTGAAAATTACATTCTATATTCTATCAAATATTTGCTTCAAATGGCATCATCATCAAACATCTCTCAACTGTTGGTTTACCCAAATGAAAACTTCTCTGAAAACATATTAGATAATTTATTTAAAAATTGAATTGAAATTTTCTATACCAAATTCAAGTAGCTAGAAATTACCAAATTCACTGGAAATTTTAGACAAAATTTAGTTATTTTGGATGTGTGTTTTTTGTGGAATGATTCACAATGAAATTACTATCAAAAAGTATATATTATATGTGTCATCCAATATGGAATTATCAATGAGTACTAACGGAAATTCCATTCATTAATCGAACAAGAAGAAGAGACTGTGTTAGAGCGTGGGGCAGACGATGTCAGCATTCTTGTTGTCTCCAATTCAAGCATAAATATTTATATAAACCCGAGCAGGGGCGGCAAAAGCGGATTAGCTGGGGTACAACGATGGCAAGGGGCGGCAGGAGGGGAGCTGTGGAAACTATTGCAGACAAAGAAATCCAAAGACTCGAAAATGAAGTGAAATGAAATTCTTATGGCAGCGGACAAATGATAATAAATATTGTAAAGAGTGTTCGGAATTTGTTCGAAGGGGTGCGGCAAGCATGCTGCAACACAGAGTCATCCTGAGTGTGACAGAGACAGACAAAAAAAAAGAGAGAGAGAGAGAAGGGGGCTCAGAGGGAAGTAGAAGGAGGCTGAAGGGCTGCCGGCACTTGGGAACACTTGTGATAATGATGACTAATAAGGGGCACAAACAAAACCAGCCAATGACTCCCAAAAAAGGAAAAAAAAAAAAAGAAAAAAGAAATATCCAAATAAAACAGAGTATTATTGAAAATATGCAGAAGACGAAGAAGAAGCAGCGGCAGCAGCTAAAAACAAACACAGCTGTAAACAGACATTGCTCTGCGGCCGCGACCGAGGGGGGCAGCTCGAGAGACAACAAACATCTACAGCTGGATGAAAATCGAAAGAAATCGCATTCAAATTGCTTTCATTTGACTGAGCTGTACTGGAAAAATGCTTGATGATTGATTGTGATGGACGAGAGAGACTGGGATAAGAGCAGTCGATAATGCGAACTTATCAAACTCAATACCTCAATTAGTTAATTAAATTAAGAATCGCGAGAAGGTTTCTACTGCCAACAATTACAGAGTATGAAAAGCTCAGAAACGCCCAAAGATGATCCAGAATTTGTTGTTTATATCGGTTAATGAATAGAACCAGTTCCATTTTTGGGTAGCAGTCTTTTACTCTACTTTAGTTAGACTAATTAAATGAATAAATTCAGCGTATTATATGCTGACAGCTGTAAACTGCTTCCGTTTGCACATCACTCAAATGTCTGCCGTTTATTTTCGCATGACATTCAATAGAATCTTCAATTATACTAAATATAATTCTCTGATGAGAGCAATCAAATTTCTATGAGATCTTCAAGCTGCGGGCAGCCCGCTGCGACTCGCGGCCGTTTCGAGTGGGTTAAACGGGTGTGGAGGGCGTTAAGAGGGTGGGCGGGGCGTGTCTTGATTGCCCTGACCGAATGCCACTTGAAAGGGTTTACCCTGAAGCTGGCGGAGTCAGGCGCTGCAGCAATTGAAGCGACACGCGCGTCGCATTTATGCGGCAATTAATGCTTAAATTTAATTAAATGCATTCGACGAGTCGCGTCGAGTGTGAGGCGGGCTTTAATTGCATCTAGAAGCTGCAAGTGGAGCCAAGTGCAGCTTGACGCTAATTGATTTGGCTATAGACCAATCGAACTCCACATGTGGAACATCCAAATACTCAATTTACTCCATCTCCAGCCCCAATCATTATCAATCTTTTATTTTGAAGAAGAGCTGCACTATTCGATAAGCTAAGTGCCAAGTGGCATTAAATCAGCCTACTTCTATATATCTCTCTCTTCCTCTCTCTCTTTCTTTCTCTCCCTTTCTCACTCTCTTGTTCCACATCAAATATAAGCAAATACACAGAACTTTGCGAGCTTACCGAATTTTGAAAATTCCAGCAACATTAAATACAGTTTTATGGACTCCGAGTTGTGGCTTGGGGAATACTCGACTGCAGGGACTCAAGATTTATGGATTGTCGGCGCTCTATGCACAGATTTATGTTCTACCAGGCAAACAAGACGCAGATTTGTCGTCGTCATTTGGTTCTTCTGCTTCTTTGTTTGCTTCCCTTGTTAGTTTTAATGTGAAAGCTATTTTTTTTTTCTGTTGCTCTTTAGCTTATATACCCTATAGGGCATAGAATGTACCGGAGGAGCGATTAGTAATATAAGTTTGGTATATTTTATAATATAATACTTGAAGTTGTACAGGTTTTTCGAGTTGTTTCTTTGAACTGAACCAGCAAATAAAGTCGAGGAGGGTCCTTTGACAACTTCCTCCCATCTAACTATCCACTACTACTATGATACTATATGCTACTACTATTATCACCTACTAAATCTTTAATATTCACTCAAGCAACATGCTGCAACAGATTACAGGTCATCGACCAGTCGTGCAGGGCCGCACTGGCAACACATGTTTATGTTTTTGTTATACATTTTTGTTCAACATTTCATTACCAAATCTCGCAAGCTGACATGGAACTAAACATGCTAAATGATCAGCCAACTGGCCGCGACCCCAAAAAGCCGAGAGCCAGCGAAGAGCCGAAAGGCCTACAGTCTGGTCGAGGTGGGAGCGGGGCCAGGGGAGTAAGGCATGAGGTCGATTTACACAAACGTGACATGCGGAGGCTATAAAAAGCGGCATGAGAATGCGACCTGCAGTGTTGCATAGTGTCGCACGACAGCAACTAGTGTTGCCACTGAGCAGGAGGCTGGGGGCAGGGGCAGGGGCAGGAGCAGGGTGCAGGACAGAAAGCAGACAAGTGGGGGAGCCACAATCGCAGTCCAGTCCTGTCTGCAAGTGTCTGAATCAGGTCTGGCCAGTTATTGGCTGACGGGACCCACTTTGATGGTTCAGTGGGTGTGCATTAAGATATTCAAAAGCTATTACGATCGCACTGATGGCACCGACGAGTAGTTCATAAATTTTGTGGCTCGAGAACAAGTTCTCAGCTTTTATTGCCCGGCGAGACGAGTCGAGAGTGACGATGCTTGTTTACTTCTTTCACATTATTTAATTTTTGTTCAAGTTGAAATGAGTTTGACTCTTGCAACCAAAACTTTCCTATTTCTCGTACTTTTTCAACACCTAATTGGGCAAAGAACTAGTTCGCAATGCCCCCTAATTATTGTGAAAGCTGTTTAAGACCAGCAACTACGAAAGAGAAAAAAACATTTAAAGCCATGTCGTAAAAACTGGAGAAAAAGTGTAAAAACTAGAGGCCAGTGTTGGGTAATGTGCGGGCCAAGTGTCAATTGGTAGGCGACAAACAGCAAATGACTTGGACCTGCCCTCAACTTTAACTTGTCTCCAGTTGTTACTGTTGTTGCTGTTGTTGTTGTTGTTGTTGTTTCTGTCGTCGTTGTTGCAGTTGGGCTTGGGGCACTTAAAGACGCAACATGCGGCATGTGGCATGTGGCAACGTGTAGGTGCCTAGGTGCCGCACTTAATGGCCACCATAAAATCGCAATTGCCGCTGCTGCCGCTGGAGGATAATGAAGTTGCATGTTTACACTGTGCTACGTGGGTGAAGCAGCATTTGCTTACCAAATAATACCCTCAGACCATTCAAAATAGAGAGAGCCATTTCGAGCTCCACTAGGCGATAAAAAGAATACGATGATGAGATGTGCATGCAGCAATTGCGTTTTGATAACTCTCGTAATATCGATAAGTAACGATGTTGCGATATAACTTAAGTAAAGCAGAAATTTTATTGGCACAGAAGAAATGAATGCTGTGATGCTTTTGATATGGCAAGCAAAACACGCATATCGATAACTTACTCACTATCGATAAATATCGATAATAAAGCCAGAAATTGAAATTTGTTTCAAAGAATCATACAAAGTGGCTTTAATGCTTGACACATCAACTTAGCGCTAACTACAGGGTATCTGCTTATCGGGCACTGCCCTTTTAAGCACTTTGAACGTAGTTTTCCTTGAGACTCTTTGCCTCGCTATCTGGCTGGCTGCCTGTCTAGCTCATTTGCAACATCTTTTCGTGTTGACGCGCCCAATTCAAGACATCAACTGCCCCTTGCTCCTTCGTTTTCGATTACACCTCAGACCACTCAGGTGTCGAGACTGCGCTTCGAGGTTTATTCCTAATGTAATTACATTTCGGCAAGCCCCTGCATGCGCATATAGCAGCAAAAAAGGTGCATTGAACTGGTTCCACCTACAAAATCGATTTGATTGCTAGCTGACCAAATGTCTTCTCGCTTCCTCTCCTGAACTGCTCGTTTAGCATGCCCCCCACCCCCCCTCACTTGGGCTCAATTGAACTCCTGTGACACCTGAGCAATGCGAACCGCAAAGCGAAGTCTGTATCTCTGCTTTATCTCGATGTAGCTCTAAAACCACAAACACACATTACACCGTTAGCCGATCAATGACGATTAATATCGATCGTGTGATCGTGCTAGCCTCCTGGCTAACAATGTCTTTTGCGGTTATTTTTGATTGAAAGACTTTATTATAAATATTCCCGCTTATTCTTTTACTTGCAGCTTACTCGTAGGCGCTCCACTGGATCGAAATAAACAGCCAAATACCACGCAATCGGGAGCTTTATACATGTGTCCGATAACCACGGACTACAACGATTGCGAACAGATTATAACGGACGGCCGACGATGTAAGTAAAACTCTTACTCTATATGTATACATCGATATATATGCCTAGATAATTAGATATTAACTTTACGTATATAATTTTTGATTAGCTTATGTTTAGACTTCAGTTTGAGCACCACAAAAAAATCGGCGAAAAAAAGTTTCGAATCATAAAATTAATGCTAAATAATAATAGGAAAAAAATCATAAAATTAATGCTAAATAATAATAATAGAAAAACAGCTAGTGCTACAGAGGTGGAGGTTTTTTTTTATTAAATATATAATAATATCAGATAAGGAAATTTTAATAATCAGAGACCATATTAGCGGGAAACTAACCAAACAAAAAAAGTCTAAAGTTAAGTTTGAGCCAGCTTTTATTTCAAATCCTAATGCCAAGTGACTAACAAATCTGTCAGAGCTAACACTAAGCGTAAAGTCTTCAAGTCTCGGATCATATTCTATAGATCCTATTTATAGGTTAGCTTTTTGTTTATGTACATAAAATCCTATGTAAAAAACAAATGTGACTAAAACCTTTTTTAACATTCTCTATGTCTTTGGTAATTTTATATAGTTGAGCTATATATGCATATATATACATAATTATATCAACATGTGTATATGTATATATATATAGCTTTAGTTTATAATATTTTATTGTATAGCTCTAGTTTTTTAGTGACATTCGATTTGTTTTTATTCAAACATCAACAAAATATTTATTTGCGTTTTTTAATTTTCTTTTCTTTCTTTATTTTTGTTTTCGTTCTCTTTCCTTACGTAAACCCCCCTAAAACCACACATATATATATGTATAAACTTAAAAAACATATATATATGTATGTATACAATATGTATATTCGGTGCGCATATGGAAAACTCATATACCTATCTCCCAAACCCAAACTCTCAACCAAAATTATTGACAAACTATTTTCGATGTTTTTCAAAATGAAAATCGAAATAAAATATATCAAACGAAAATATCATTTAGCATCTGGCGGAGCTTATGAACCTAGTAAGTGGTATGGGTGCTTTATTTGTTGTTGTTTTTGCCCACATAAAAATAAAAAAAAGAACAAATTGTTGATAAAAAAAAAATAAAAAACTAATACACATTTTGAGCATTTAATTTGATCGTTTAAAAAGCACATAATTTTTGATTTGCATTTGCTTTGATTGATTTCTCACATGTAACTATAAATATAATTAAATTTATATGGATATGTCTAACTGTATCGAAGTGCAGCGATAGCTTATCATGCGATAAACATTTGCTATCGACATGCACACACACAGTCACACTCACGCACTCAATATGTATATAAATCAGCGATAACTTATCGATCAATGTACAGTCACGCATGCCAATTCAAAACTAACGGCATTTTTTTTGGGGCGGCCCTGCATATTCTATTACACATATGTTGCATGTACATTTACGCTATATAAGCTTATATAATAATATAAATATATATGTACATATCTATATATCGTATATCTGAAAAATATAAATAATATCGCTAAACCACATATGATTAACTAAACATTTATTGACTTACAACCCACTTGTAACTATTACCAGCAATTTAGTTGACAAATTTCGTTATTAACTAGTTCAATGTTCATTAATCATCGGCACCAGCATTGTGAGAACTTGTGGAACTAGTGGAGCGCGCTTGATCGTAGGTTAAAGTCCGCTCTGGAATTTTTTGTATTTAGCTTTAGGGCTAGTTTCGCCTCGCTCTAAGCCAAAAACTTGCTGGCCGTTCGACCTGTCCCATATATATTGACCTTAGCTACGTAATTTTAGCACAGCCAACTTAATCATATTCCAGTGCAGCCGACTTCATGCAATCCAGCTGATGCTTAATCTGAAGTCATAGACGAAATGCTGCCATCAACTCATGATCGACTCGAATAGGTTCTCTGCATTTCTTCTTACGTTATCGGCTTACTCCGGGGACTCATAAATATTTTTCGGAACTTGTTTCTAATGAAGTCGTTTCATTATATTCTTTAGCTAAAATTGGGAATAAAAGATTGTGGAATAATGCCTGCAAAGCTTGCCAATGCAATAAATACCCTGGAAGGTTTGAGAGCTCAACTGATTTTAGCAATAGGGTACTTGTATAATCTTGCAAAATATATAGAATATATATCGATAAATATTGATAGACAAAAGTGGTTTCTATACGTCATATGCTCTCATGTGGAGCCACTTAGCTGCAGGGTATACACTAGTCCATCAAGCTCAATTAGATTTGATTTGCATAGCTGTGTTGAGTGTTGATGCTAAATAGTTCTTGTTGGCTATAATTTTTTGCATTGCTGGAATGTTGTAGTACTATCCGATAATTTGCCCTCTCAAGCGCTCTCTCTCTCTCTCTCTCTCTCTCTCTCTCTCTCTCTCTCTCTCTCTCTTTCTCTCTCTCTCTCTCTCTCTCTCTCTCTCTCTCTCTCTCTCTCTCTCTCTTTCTTTATACCTGCTTCTTTTTCTATCGAAATATATTTCATCACTTGTCGGGCATTTCCTCTGTTTCATGCCCAAATCGCTTGACAGCTGCAAAGTGTTTAGTCGATGCGAGGGTACACCAGGCTTTTGGGACATACATATGTATATTCCTGATATATATTGAAATCAAATTATATAATGCAAGAAAAACTCATTTACAAGGCAAATTACTTACGAACATATCAATTTTATTATAATAGCTAGGGTATTTCGCATTCGCCTTTGCTTGTTTGCTCGGCCTGTGGAGTGGGTGTGCGGGAGGGCGAAGCCATTTTTACCAATTGGTGACTACTTTAGCCTTAATTATATTTACTTAGCTCCAAATTATTTAAATATTGTACTGTAAATTCATTTGCTGCAACAGCTGTGTCTGAGAGCCTCTGGCCCCACGCCACTGCCCCCTTCTGCTCTGACGGCAGCGACTCTCAATGTGTCGTTCGCATTCCAAATGTTTGGCAGCGACGACAACGGCGACGTCGGCATCTGTGCTCGTTTTGCAGTTGATATACTCAGCAAGCATAGTAACACGGGTATGCGGAACTTTCGACATTCTTCTCAACATTGCAAAGGGTATGTGCTAGTTGAGCACTCCACAGCACTGTTACTTGCAGTTAATGCTGCTGTTATTTCTGGCCTTTGAATTGCTAACGCACAGCAATCAGAGCGTGTTGTTGGCTGCCGCTGCCACTGACACTGCTGCTGCCTCAGTCGACGCCTCTGCCACTGCCGAACGTGACAAATTTTACAATATGCAAAAGAAGAAGAAGCAGGAGCAAAATGAGAACAACAGCCGCGCATAAAAATAGCTGTGGCACAACGCAAAATTTGTGTGGCATGTCAAAATTCTTTTGCGACAAGCGTCTCGAAATTGTGGACGCAAATACCACCCATAGTAATCATGGGTAACGCCGCCAACGCCGCCCACTGTCAATGCCAAAAGCGCGTCGCAAAGTGCAAAATTCACTGGGCCTGGGACAACAATAAATAAATAGAGAAAGAGAGAGAGAGACGCAGCGCACACATGTACAGCTATGTCAAACTAGCTGCAGCTGCGCGCCTGCGGCCCACGCGCTTAATTTTTGTCAGCTGCTGCAGCGCGACTTTCACTTTGCGCGTTTTAAAACGCGTCAAACCCGTCAAAGCTGCCGCCAGGACAGCCCACGCCCCAAAAAAAAGCCAGTCAGAGGCGCTAGCAAGCAATTCGAAAACATAAATGATAAACGTAACGCTTCTCGCTCAGCTCACCTCAGTCAATCACCACTCTCTTTCGTGGGCTCTCTCTCTCTCTCTCTTTCTCTTCGCCGCGGGCACACTGTGATAATCATTTATCATATTTCAACACTTTGATGCTTTAAAATGCATTTTAAATCAATTTCGTTACGTTTCACACTTATTAACGCTTTCCTACTCTCCCATTCGCCTACTCTCCCACTCTCTCAGTTTCTTAATTTCTATTGCGCATGTGTGCGTGCATTTGTGCAGACGCAAAACATTAAAACTCCAATGTCGACGTCGCTGCTACTGCGCTGTTCTGTCACGGCTGCATTCTACCAAAAGCTGACAGCGACGTTGGCAGCGCTTTTCGTTTTTGTTGTTTCATTCTTGTTTTGTTATGCTCTCTGGCATGCAAATGATGTTTATGCCCGGGGTATACACGCTTCATAACTAACTATTTTAAAATATACATATGTATATGTATGTATGTATTTATTTTGCATGTCTGATTTGTTTATTGAGCCATAATAATTTTCTAATTTGCATTTTTCGCCTTTCTTTTGCACATCTGATTACGAATTTACTGATTATTATCGTGCTAAAACGTTTTGCGTAGCACTTTGTAGTCGAGCAGACGAGCACGAGAGGTGCCTTAAAACTTTTTTTCATGCTTCGTTTAGTCGAACATTTTGTTTGCACTTGTTGCTGTTTTATGCTGCTCTTTTTGCTGCTGTTCCTATTGTTGTTGTTGTTGCTTCCACTTCTGCTGCTTCTGCTGTGCTGCACATGTGCTGTTATGTAGGCAGCCCCTCTTTTCCCCCTTCTAGCAGCAACCGCATTACACATGTGCGCTATTGCAAGGTCTGCCCCTACTTGCCCGCTCTACCTCTCTCTCTCCCTGTCATTCTTCTACTTTGCTCGTATTATTTAACAGCTGTTAATAGCTTAACAGCGCCAATAGTTGTTGCCTTTACCCGCTCGCTGTAAATATTGCAATACTTTAAATTTGAGTTTAGCTTAGAACTTTACTATCAAATTTGTTGTATAATATTTTTAATTAAAAAAAAAACAATCTAATTGTACATACATACATATGAATACATATTCTTGCATACTATATTATTATTGTTGTTATTGATGTTGTTGTTGTTGTTGATGTTGTTGTTGTAACTGATGCGACACACACAAACACTCAGAGATACACACACTCGCACACACACACATACACGCGTACATATTTTTACAATTTCGTCACACAATTTGCTAACAAGTACAAAAAAACTACTTTTGCACTTTTTATCTGTTGCCACCTGGCCACCTGCCACCTGCAGCCTATGATGTCGACGAGCTGATACCGCCATCTAGCGACGAGATCAAAGAGGGCCAATGGTTGGGCGTCACTGTACGCTCCCAAGGAGTAGCCAGCAAGGTAAGGGCAGCTACAACTTCATTCGAATAACCATATAATGTATGTGGATCCTTGATTTGCTTACCCTATCAGGTGCTCGTCTGTGCCCATCGCTATGTGACGATACAACGTGAGAACCGCTATGGACAGGGTCTCTGCTATGTGCTGACAAACGACTTAGAGTTCGACGAGGTTTACGAGCCGTGCAAGGGACGTCCCACACAAAGGTAGGTGGAGAGCGAGAACCGTACAAATTTGACTATGGTGCTCATTGGGATCAGATGAGATTAAAGTAAAGAATAGATAATAAATCTACAGAAAACTGAAATAGAGAATTCCCGGCTAGAAAGAAATATTTCTACATATCGCTAAAACAAGCCCCGATTCGGAACTCTAAAAACTATAAATAACTGTCCACATACATATCAAATTAGGACTTCCATTTTTTCGGAAACGAAATAAATAAATAAAGCGGACAGGGAAAAACATAAATTTGTCATAAATGAATCCATTCGGAATGGTAAATTTGTCATGGTCAGGTTCGATTCAAGCATAACACAAATCCTCCTCCTGCCATTAACCAAAAAGTGTCAAGGTGAAGTGCGTATAAAGATATTTCAAAACTCAGTCAGCGTGGTTTGTGTGGAAGGAGGTCGAAAAACAGGGAACTCAGCGCGTGTCTAGCCTCAGTTTAGGCCAATTAGCATGCAGCGTGTGTGGTGTGCGGTAGATGTTTGGGGCAGGAGGAGGACTACAAAAAGGGACTGGAAAGGACAAGTCGAGGAATAGCTGGTCAGGTGTGACAGCGATGACGTCGCCGTTGCAGGGGAGAAATTTCAATTTATTTAAATGTCAGCGCATAAGGCAAAGCAAACGGCAGTGAGATATGGATCGGGAAAGGTAAGGGTAGGGGCATTATGCTGTGGGGGCTTGCCTTGCGTAAACAGGCTCGCACCGCACCCAAAAATGGAAACACCATGAATAAATTGTTATATGATGTGATATGGCATATATGAGACATGCTCCCATGGAGATGACGTGGACTTGGACATGCAATTTTTCATTGCGCTGGCATCGCGTGCCTGACCCTGGACTCATTATACACTGTAACCCAAAGTGCAAAAGCGGGATATTCAGCTCAAGTAAGAGTGGACTAGGGCTTAACTAAAAGTGTGTTAGGACTCAACCCAAGAGTTATCCTCCATAGTCGTGACGGGTTCTAGATCCCAGCTACAGAGTAAGCCCAAGGCATCTCGATTCCTACAAGTGCAAGTTTCCCTTTCAACACTAAGAATCGTAGAGCTATATATCCCTCTTAACAGATCATTGGGCAGTGGGTTAGACCCAACCTAGAACTTGCTGACTCATTCATTAATGTCGCCAATCCTTTTAGGCAACACGAGGACTATGGCTTCTGCCAGGTGGGCACCTCGGGCGCCCTGCTGGATGACAATACTATGGTGCTTGGCACTCCGGGCCCCTTTACTTGGCGCGGCGCCATATTTGTGACAGAGGTCGGTGGCGAGTACCTGCAGCGGGACAAGAACATGTACTACAGTGACCACTCGGACACCTCATCGCCCGTGGACAAGTACAGTTATCTGGGCATGGCCGTCACAGGGGGCCGCTACTTTGGCGAGAGGATGTCGTATGCGGCTGGCGCGCCACGCTCGAATGGCCATGGTCAGGTGGTTATCTTCGACAAGGCCAACACGAGCCCCATTCCCGTGCACATGATCATCGATGGGGAGCAGTTCGGCTCGAGCTTCGGCTACGAGCTGACGACGGCAGACATAAATGGGGATAAGAAGCCAGATCTAATTGCTGCGGCGCCCTTCTACTTTTCGAAAAACGACGGCGGCGCTGTCTATGTGTATCAGAACGACAAGGATATGCTGCCCAAGAAGGCGACTCTGCGTCTAACGGGCACCCTGGAGAGTCGCTTCGGTCTGGCCCTGGCCAATATTGGGGACCTCAACAAGGACGGATGCGACGATTTGGCTGTGGGCGCTCCCTACGAGGGCGATGGCGTTGTCTACGTCTATCTTGGCTCACGCCAGGGCCTCAACGAGAAGCCATCACAACGCATCCAAGCCTCCGAGGTAGGCCGCAATCTTCCACAGCCATTGACGAACTTTGGCATCTCCATAGCGGCCAATACGGATCTCGATGACAATTCGTATGTGGACCTGCTGGTGGGTGCACCGCCAGCTGTTGTGGTCCTGCTCGCACGGCCCATCATCAATATTCAGACGTCGTACCGAAGCACGGAGCTGCGCAACATCGATCCGAATCGGGCTGGCTGCCGCGAGGATGTCACCACGAATCTGACGTGCTTCACCTTCGAGGCATGCAGCAGCATCGATCCACACGAGCAGCAGAGCAACGAGCTCAATCTCACCTATACCATTGAGGCGGAGACCTTCGAGCACAACAAGAAGTTCGCTCGCGTCTACTTCGACAGGGACAACAAGCGCAGCAATGTGATTACCCACAAGGTGCGAGTCCGCACGAACGGACGACTCGAGTGCCAGCGGGTCACGGGCTATATCAAGGCCAATACGCGAGACATTCAGACGCCCATACGGTTCCGCCTGGAATGCAAGCTAGACGAACAGGAACTAGTGGATTCACCACTGACACGACTCAATCCCATTTTGGATCAGACGCAGGCCTCCATCGAATTCGAGGGCACGTTCCAAAAGGACTGCGGCGATGATGATCAATGCGACAGCGATTTGCGGCTTGTCGCGGAGCCGAACCTTACGGCCGAGGGTAAGTGTTCACTGTCAGCAATTGGCCGAACTAGTTCCATTACAAATAAAACCAGTTATGCTATCTAAAAGGTGCAGCTGAGTTAGTTGTGTTTTGGAACTAGTTGCGTTCATTGAACTAGTTCATAATTAATATTGTATTCTTTCCCCTCCACAGATGGTAAATACGCACTCATACAGGGCAACAAAACGGAACTAGAGATCACAGTGAACGTGACCAATCTGGCTGATTCCGCTTATGAGGCTCAGCTCTTCATTGTGCATCAGAAGAGCGTCTCCTACATAGCGACCAAGAAGCCGGTAAGTTCACTCAGAGAGCTGGAAATAGTCGGGCAATGTTTTGATTTAACTTTAACCTTTTGAACCTTCGCAGACGAATGCAACTTGCAACAGCTTCAACGAGACCTTGGTGGTCTGCAGCTTGGGTAATCCGATGCTGAGGGGCACCATGATCCATGTGACGATACGCTTCGATCCGAACAGCCTGGAGCTGAAGCAGACGGAAATGTTGTTCCACATCTTTGCGAACACCACCTCGAAGCTGGTGGGTCCCGAGAAGCCCGAACGCGATGTGTTAGTGCATGTGGTGCGACGAGCGGAGCTAATTGTTCGCGGCTGGGTCAATCCGGAGCAGAGCTTTTACAGTGGCGCCTCCACGCTGCAAGATTCGCCCATGGAGCTGAAAGATGTGGGCTCGCCGCTGGTCCACACCTATTCCATCTTCAACGAGGGTCCCTCGGCGGCGCCCAAGGTGCAGTTGATTATATATCTGCCGCTGATGCTGGAGAACGGACACGACAAGGATCTGGAACAGGGCAAAGAACAGTACTTGCAGTACCTGGAGGAAAAGCCCAGCATAGAGACGGGTCAAGGCGAATGCACGGTGGCACCCGAATATGTCGATCCCCTGAAGCTCACCTCCAAGTTGGCTGGCAATCTGCGTAGCGCCCCCTACATGATCGCGCCGGCAGCCATGAAGAAGTCGCCCACGCATCGCCAGTTTCAGCTGAACAAGACGCTCAGCTACAATCAGGCGCAGAGCCAGAGCCAGACGCAGCACTGGAGCCAGCAAAAGTCCAGCCAGGAGCAGCACGGCGGAGCGAATCGACTGCCGCGCAGCACGCTCGAGCGCATCGTGAGGCCCGAACGATTTATGGACGGACGCGACGCGAGCGTCAAGAGCAAGAAACAACAAATTGTTGAGCTCAATTGCGACAAGTTCACGGCGCACTGCATCAAGATTCAGTGCGAGTTCTATGCGATGCCAGCGAAGACCGAGGCACAGGTGACGCTCAAAGCGCGCCTCTGGAACTCGACGCTGGTCGCCGAATATCCTCGCGTTGATCTGGTACGCATCATATCCACGGCCATGGTCAAAATACCAAAGGACTTTCATGTGGAGCAGCTGGAGAACAATGATAACATTTTGGTAAGTGGCGACAGATGATCCACAGTGCTCTCAAGGAGATTTCAAAATGTCTCTCATTTTCCTCTTCGATTCAGGTGGAGACGCGCGCCTATCCGGAACTGCTAGATCAACAGCGGGAGCCCTTCCCGCCGTGGATCATTGTGTTGGCCGTGCTGGGCGGCTTGCTGCTGCTTGCCGTCTTCACGTATGGAATGTGGAAGTGCGGCTTCTTCAAGAGACAGCGGCCAACGGATCCGACACTCAGCGGCAATCTGGAGAAGATGAACGAGGAGAAGCCCTTCCTGGCGGCCAAGAGCAGTCATAGTGTTTTCTAACAAGAGGGTACCGTCGGCTGGGATCTGGTGCGACGCATTGCGCCGAGGAGGAAGCGCAGCAGGCTGCGCCGGATGCGGCTGCACTGTGAGCAGCAGCGGCGGCAACGGCATGGGCAACATCAACAACGGCATTATTTGCCCTGCATCTGCAGCAGCAGCAGCAGCAGCAACAACAACAACAACAATAGCAATAACAACAACTACAACAACAACAACAACAACGAGGACGAGGAGGAATTCGATGTGCTGTCCCTGACACCGCCACCGCCGCCGCTGAGCTTCGTTAGTTGGAGCAGCGATGGCTACTACCAGGCCAGCGCCGCCTGGTGGGGCCACATGTGAGCAGCTGTAGCTGTAGCTGAGCCTGAATTGCAATCCTGTAGCCGCTGCACATCCTGGCTGCGGGACTTTCAATGTGCCATTACGTTTACTTAAGTTTTGGGCGTCCAGCTGGGCAACGGAACGGGAAGCGGAAGTTCCTTTGCCAGCGGGCCGCAGCGTCCGTTAATACACGACTAGTTATGAAGGGCTTTCGACCAAATTGTCAGCATGCATCCATCAATCAATCAATCAATCAATCCATTAATCCATCGATCGAGCCCATCAATCGAACTTTAAGCTAAGATTCATTTACGCTTACCACTTAGCTGAGGCTCTTGCTGTCTCTGTCTCTCCCTCTCGCTGTCTCCCCTTCCTCTCTCTTTTTCTCTCTGGCCTTCACTCGTACGCATAGCTTGCTCTTCATACTAACTGCTTTCCATTGAAAGCTTATATTCATACTTTGATAAGAGGTCAAAGTTTATGTTGTATACTCAGCGGCTTGTTCTTCAAGCCACGTTTATCTTTGCGCAACATGGGGAAACATTTTCGAATTGTAAAGTGACCATGGAAGCGCTCTCTATGATTTTGTCTTCTTCAGCTTGCGTGTTGCCCTGCCGCTTGCACTGGTGCAGTCCACGCGACCGGGCAACACACACAGCTGTCGACCATATTACCGATGCCTGAGTGAAGGTCTAGCCACAGAGAGTTACCTCGTTCTTCTGTTTTCCCCCTGCCCTTTCACTGCGTCCCGCTCTTGTTGATAACATGCTACGAACACACACCTGTGTATTTGGGGAGGAGTCCAGCTTTTTGTACCATAATTGTTATTTATATAATGCTTAAGTTCGTCTCTAAGTGAAGGTGAAGATTAGGTGTAAGAAACGTAAAATAATTCCAAATTATTTCAAAGGAGAAACGAAAAGCAAAAACAAAACAAAAATATACCCAACCTAAACCCCATAATTTAACCACTCGAAACTACTATCACTGCCAGAAAGTACGTTACAAAAAAAAAATAATAACAAAAAAATTAGTTAAAATACCAGCTTCCAAATTCTCGAAAACCAATCCTATTTGAACTTATAAAAGTATTAAATTTATATTCATGCCAAACTACAGAGATGTACGATCAAATACGAGCATTTCTTGAGCCTATGCAAATATGTAGTGCAATTCGCCCCATTCGAAAATTGTTTTTATTCTCTAAACCGTAAGCATAACCTAACCGAAAAAAAACGAAAAAATGCCTTTAAAAAAATTTTATATTTAGGAATTTTTTGTAATTGGAGAAACATATGTTTATGTTCCAAAGTGCATAGAATATATTAAGCTATAATATTAGCGATATGTATATACATATAAACATATAAATATAAAGTAGAATCCGGGTATAATTACTCCGTACGGTTATTGCGACGAAAGTTCTGGTCCGCAGACAAATTTATATGAGCGAGCTTATACGGTTAAAGCGCCTTCCGGGTATATATATATATTTTTAAAATTTTCGATTAAGTTCATGTAATGCTAAGAATTCGTATATTATTTTATATATATATTATTATTATATTATATATATTATATATTTTGTAGCTGTATATAATAATTTTTTTTTTTTTTAATCATAAATTTCTTTCCACTGCTCGATAATTGTAAATAGCTTCAATAATTTTATTGAAATAAATTTAAACACACCATTTAAAGCAAACGCAATGTGTTATTTATACAATTGACGATCATATCAGGAGTAGCGCCATCTATGCGCAAATGCGGTCACTAAATTTCTGGTGCCGCCCAAAAGTATGCTACGTCTTTTGCATTACTGCAACTTGTGAGCTTCGATAAGCAGCCGCTTGGACTTGGCCCAACCGAATAATTTGCCATTTGAGATGATTTGAATGTTGTTGAAAATTGACTTCATAGATCAAAAATAGCGCAGACCTCTAGAGGATTTTCTGTAATGCTCAGTTGCAAGCGGAAGATAACATTCAATATAATTAAAGCTATTAACATTGATGTGCCATTTTTTCTTATTAAAATATACATTGAAGCCCACCAGTTATATATGCTTTGTCTTATTAAGGCTTACAATTTTCATATATAAAATGAACATAGGACGTTCCCGGCAAACTGCAGTGACTCTATTTTCCAAAGCCTCAAGGATTCATTCAAGAAACTATTTTCTGCAATAATACGCATCCATTCCAGCCCAAAGCTGCAATTTTCCAATTTCGTCCAACTGCCAAGTTGAATTGGCGCCATCTATCGACAGGCATTTTCGTGCCTCGTCGTCGTCACTTTCCCCCAGATTAAAATCCAAATTGGTTTTGTTTTTTTTATAACGGTTTTTATTTTTGCTTGCTTACGAAACTTAAAATTCGCCATAAACTAAATTGTTTTTTTGTTTTCACTTCACATAATTGTAATTTAATTATTTAACTAAATAAGAATACGCACACAAAATTAGTGTTCAATGGAAGCAACTGTTGCAACATTAACAAAATTCATGGAGTACAGTTAGAAATGTTTTTTTTTCCTTTTAAACAAATTTTTGATACAGTTTTTTGTCTTTTTCGTTGTAGTTTTTTTTTTTTTTTTTTTTGTACATGTTAAATATATTTATATATAATAAAAACGAGAAAAAAATTTATATTTATTTATAACAAAAATGTAACTGGCATTGTGAGGAAAGCAATAGAACGATATGTCTATGTTCTATCGTTATCGATCAATGTGTAAGGGAAGACATTGTTTACAGAATTTTGATATTACATTTTTTGTTTTCGTTGCGAAAGGGAAGAGCAAATGTACTTAAATTGTTTTTGTTTTCAAGAACCAAAACTTAAATGCATAAAATATTAAATAGAAATATGTATTTGTTATTAATATATAGTATATGTATATAGTATAAGTATATAAGAGATAGAATGTAAACGTAACCTTTTTCATATTTAAATACATACCAAAAAATATATCAAATATTTATATAAAAATAATAATAATGCAAATATAATAAAATAATAATAATAATAATAAATAATAAATATGCTGCTTGCACTTGTTGCTTTAACTTTGTCTCGTTTGTTAATTTTTTTTTTTGTGTTTTTTATTTATTTATATTTTTTTAGTATTTATTTTTTAGTTTTAAGGCACTTTGAGAATTTGATTTACATCCATTTTCAAGTTGTTTTTCTATTTCTTTAATTCTTCTTCTTCACTTTGACATAAATAATGATAAAAAAAAAAATAAAACAATTATAATAAATAAAGGAAAATTAATTAAATAAGTGTATCTTTTTTTAGTTGTTTTTTTACGCTTCTATAAACTAATTGTAGTTTTTTTACAGTTCATGTAGATCGGCATATTACAATATATATATATATTTATATATATAGTTGTATTTTTATATCTAAAGTTTGAAGGCAACTCGTAAAAAATGTTTACAAAAATTAAATAATATAATTTAATTTAATTAATTGATTTTAAGTTAGGGCTTAAAGAACATTTTCATTTCTTTTCTTTCTCATGCAAAAAATTTGCAAAAAGTAAAATAAAATAAAACGCACTTAATTATATAATGAATTATTAATTAACACTGTACTCAGTTTTTTTTTCGTTTTATGATTTAAATTTATATATAAATTTGTTGAAAATAAGTTGAAGTTAAAAGGAAAAGTGATAAACGACGGGCTGCCCTGATTTTTGTTTTCTTTTACAGCTTTTGCCTTGCGATAGTTATCGCTCGCCGGGTAGACAGTTTATCGGCTTATCGTTTATCTCTTTATCGCTTACTTCAAGGTAGTTTAATTTTTTTTTCTATACATATAAATATATGTATTTATAAATATATATAGTTGGTTTTTTTTTAACTGCACCCAGAAGAAAAAATTGTACGTAAAATAAATATAAAAAAAATAAACTATATATATATAAAAATATATTTATATATATTTATGTCTTTCTCTGTTTATACATGATTCATAAATTTAATGTATTCGTTCCAAATGCTTAAGCATCCGGATATCGTTGTTATCGTTATCGATATCGATGCATCGATACATGCAGATCTTTCGCATATTTGGGGGCAATATTAAATAAAATTATCAATGGTCAAAGAAATGTATGTATGTTCGTATGTGTGTGTGTGTTGGTTTCATAAATTATTAACATTAATTGTTTGTATGTAAATATTTATATATGAAAAAATAAATTATGTTTTTCTCTTTACAAAAAAAATTAAATAAAAATTAAAATTAAAAAATAAAATTCAAATAAAAAATTACAGATTTACGGCAAAAAAACTTCAAAAAAATTTGTTTGTTTTGGAGGTATATCAAATCAACTCTCGTGGAATAACACATATTATATATATATGTATATATCTCATAGTTATTATCGCTATCGGCTATCGATAGAGCATGCAGCTCAGTTCACAATAGATATGTATACAGATATATATATATATATATATGGATAGATATATATACATATATGTATGGGTTTAGGTATATATATAGATGATATACATATATATGTACACAACATTGGTTTATTACATACAATTTAGTAATAAATTAAAGTTTTCGATTTTTTTTTTTGTATTCCCTTTCATTGTGTGTATGTGTGTATTTTGTCTTTTGTGTTCTTTTTTTTTTTTTGTTGTTTTCTAGCTTTTTGTTTGTTTGTATTAGTGTTTGGAAGACGCGCGCACGCACCACGTGTTATCGATTGCTATCGATAGTCGGGCGCTGACTCTTTTTGTGAATGTTGCTTAACTAAGAATTTGTTGCATTTATAAATATTAAACAAAAGTGCGACGAGTGCATTGTGCATGGATGGGGTATGGGGGATGGGGGTGGTTCGGCATATGGCGTGCGGTGTGACGCAGTCAATAAGTATCGATATATAGGTATCGACAGATGCGTGTGGATGTCCACATTGTATTTGAGCAACCACGCCCACTCAGCAACACCCTCTGAGGGCCGATCGTATTGACGGGAAAATTGGGGGACGGGGATAGGGGCAGTAAATACAGGGGCGGGACGGGGTTGTAAATATTTTATGTTAAAATTTGTGAATGTACAGTCCGTGTTCTTTTTATCATTCTCTATTCGTCTTGTTCTTGTTGTTGTTGTTGTTGTTGTTGGTATTCATATGGTCCAGTATTTTGAAAGAAATTATCATTGCATATGTATGTACACATATACATACATACATATGTATATAAAGATATGTATATAGAGATATACATACTGTTATATAGATATGTACACATATACATACATACATACAGTGATAACGATACATACACACATAGACATATATGGATAGATATATATATATATATGTATATATATTTTGTCGTCGGGGCAATAGATTTGCGAGAGGACAGACAGACAAAACAGAAAGTGACTGAGAGTAAGAGCGAGAATGGGAGAAAGTCAAAGAAGGAGAATAGGCTAAAGAAAGGGAGAGGGGATGCATGTGTGTCTGTATATGTGTGTGTGTGGGGGGGGGGGGGGGGGGGCGTGGAGAGTGAAGTGGGATAAATTAGAATTTGAAATGTTGAAATTTACAAGAAGTTCTCTTGAGGAATGATCGGATATCGATTAATAGACTGAGATTTTTGCATTAGAATTGTGGCTGGAGCCGTTGTGGAACTCAAGCGATTGAAGACGGGCAGTCGTGGCGCCTCCTCGTGTTGCAGCGGCGAACTGATGCTCTTCTGCAGCAGCTGTTTGTTGTTGCTGCCCTTGCTATTATTATTGTTGCAGTTGTTGTTGTTGTTGTTGTTGTTGTTATTAGTGTTGCGCTCGAACTGCTGCACCGACTGCGACGTCGGCGGCGGCGGCGTATGCACCGGCGAAATGGGCGCATTCGGGCTATCGGGTGGCGTGGCCGGTGCCAAGCCGCACGCCGACGATGTGGACGAGGCCGATGAGGCATGCCCATTGGCATTGGTGCCGCCGTTGCATGCATTGGGCATGCTCAAATAGGCGGCCGCATCGTGGAATGGAAAATTTGTTAGCGAATTTGTGGGCGAGAGCGACAGCGAACCGGTCGGCGATTCGCGATCCGAGCCGGTGCTCATGCTCAGCGGCGGACTTAGCGGTAAAAAGTATTGAGTAATGTTTGTGTTGTTGTTGTTGTTGTTAGTAATGGTGTTGCCATTGGAGAGTTGCGTTGGCTTCTGGAACGTCTTGCCAGCCTGCTGCTGCTGCTGCTGCTGTTGTTGTTGCTGCTGTTGCTGCTGCGCACGCGCTTCATCCGCATTGTGCACAAAGTGACAGCGTGGCCCATAAGGACAGAAGCCAACGCTGTGAAAGGTGCGACAATATTCGGTCTTGTACTTGGGATGACGCTGCAAATTGCGCAACTCGTGGTAGCCATGGGCGAATTGACATTTTTCGCCGTATTTGCATTCGCCAGCCTCCTCATAGGGACGGCACAATTCCGTCTTGTAACTAGAGGGCGAGAGAGAAAGGGAGAGAGGGAGAATTATAGCATATATAACTTGCAATTTCAAATTCAACTTTCGCCTGCCACCCACACGTTGCGTGTTTAAATGCGACAGCTCAAATAACACACACACACACACACACACACACTTGCACTTGAATTCGCTCGAATGGCGCCGTGCTAATTGCTCGCTTTTATTTCGAGTTGCAAAACACACAAGTTCAATTGAACTTGAACGAGAGTGCGAGTGAGACGAACTGATCGCATACATGTTGCGTTCGCCAGCATTCTTTCCATTAGTGTTGCCCATTAGCCAATTTCCAGCTGCATCAAGGTTCTGTTTACCATTAAAATAGCCGAAACTAGCTTTCTTTTGATGTAAATTAACATTGTGCCTATATAATTTAGCCATTTTCTCTATTATAACACATTTTTTCTATAGCTGATAATGCTTATTATAATTTGAATTTTATAATTTTTCCTCTGTGTTCATTTAGCTATTTTAATATATGAAATGTTGCCAGCACTGTGAATGTTTTTTCATCGACCAAAGCTCGATTTGCTGCTCAAGCATGTTGCGTTTGCCTGCATTCTGCCTATTAGTGTTGCCGATTAGCCAATTTCAAGCTACAGGTAGCTTCTTTTGTAGACATTTAGTTAATTTAGCTAATTTAACTTTGAAATTCTGCCAACACTGCTTTGATGATCTTTTATGCTTTGCAGCGAGCCGAACTTCGCCTCAAACATGTTGCGTCGTTCACTTGTCCACACTACAGGATACAATCGAGCCTCGCCGCGTGCTTTTTAAGGGCTGCCAAGTACTAATATTTGTATATAAATATATTTTGTAATTGATCACAATTCTCTTGACACTATATATTGATGCACACATTCATTATATTGAGCACAGTTCAAAGTTATTGTTGACCTGGAAACTCTCTTGCAACACTTTCACACACACTGCAATGCAACGTACGGGTCGGCAGGATTAAGTTCGATGTGCAACAAGTTCAATTGCAACTGTTTTTTTGTCGCTCAACTTACCGCGATGTATTCATTGGCTGCTGGGGTGGCAACGGCTCCGACTGTGTGCGCTCCAATTTACGGTGCAACGATATGTTGCTCAGATTCTCAATGAGGGTGGTCACCAGTGATGCGACTGCCGGCGGCTGGTGCTGCTGTTGCTGCTGCTGCTGCTGAGCCAACTGGCTGAGACGCTGAGCCGGCTGTGAGATGGTGCGAGTTAACGGTCCATGTAGGCGATGATGCTGCTGCAGGAGCTGTTGATGCTGCTGCTGCTGTAGCTGTTGTTGCTGCTGCTGATGATGAAGCAGCTCCTTATCGCTTACGTGCTGATCCATGCTGGCATCCAGGATGTGATCCGAATGCTGTTGCTGCTGCTGTTGCTGCATATCACTGACAACCTGCAATAAGACAGAGGCAAACAAGCAAACAATTAATATCAACCGAGCTTTCGCATAAGCCAGCGCGTAGCGTCTCTCTCTTTCTCGCTGTCTCTGTCTACCTCACTCTCTGTCTCTCCTACATGTAAATGGGCGCACATTTTGCCCAAAGACAACGGCAAAATATAGCAAATGTGCGCAAAGGAGACGACAGAGCGCAGCAAGCAGAGCGGCGGCAGAGACGCACACACATAATACTTTTACTTTTAACTTGACCTATAAGTAAAGTGTAAAGAGTAAAGAGCAAAAGCAAAAGCAAAAGCAAAAGCAAAAGGCGCTCGCTCAATTGCTGATTGTCTAGCTGTTGCCGTCAGCGTCGCTGTCGGCGTTGCCGTCGGCATCGACGTCTGCGTTAACGTCTAAAATTAATTTTGGACTGCCGCGGCAGCAGTCACTTGTAATGGTAATGATATTGCAAAAACTAATACATATATAATTATATGTATATGCATAAAATAATAAATAAATAAATGGCAGCCAAAATGTTGTTTTTATACATTTGTATATATGTCCATATGTAATTTTCCAGCCATTAACCAATACCACAACAACAACAATGGCAACAGTAACAACACGCACACGGACATGGACATGGCATGGCGGCTGCGACGGTGCCGCAAGCTCTCCAGCTGCTCAATGCGGCATTGCCCGTTTGCCGCTCTCTCGCTCGCTCTCCTGCTCTTTTCCCCTCTTCGTATGGCGCGCGCAAGACAACCCACTCGCTCTCGCAGACTTGGCGTGTGTCGTCATCAGTTTCAGTTTTTTTTCTTTCCATCTTTTCTTCTTCTTGCCGTCTTTCTTTCTGAATTGTTATTGCCATTGTTGTTGTTGCTGATGTTCATTTTCGTGCGATGCTGTAACACGTTATGCAACCAACCAACCAACCAACCAACACCAATACACACATACACACGCACGCAAGCTCGTCTGAGCGAAAGAGAGAGGGGCTTCCAACAACTAACAACAACAACAACAAACAACAGCGCCAATTACATATGTATAGAGCTCAAGTTCAAGCCAACAAAAATACACACACACAAACGCACGCACACGAACTCAAACACGATCTCGCACTCAAACACGAACACCAAACACAGCGTAGCAGCAAACGGCCCAAAAGCAAAGCAAACGAAGACGCCGTCGCGGCCAAAAAAACAACAACAAAAGCAAGACTTAATTTTTGGAACCCAGCAGCCGTTGTTAAGGAAAAAAATAAATATAAAACAGCAACAACTAGCCAAACTGGTTGCCACTTAAGACACACACATACACTCGCATGCAGCATGGACGCTTGCGACGCGTGCGCGGCCAGAGGGCTTGCGCGATGAGCGTTGCCAGACCGTTGACAATTGCCTTGCACTTTGCAGATCGCGTTACACGCTTCTCGTTGATACGTGTAATCAGAGGCCTCTGTTGACTCTCGAGTGTTTCTTACTGATTGCATAGATAGCTTATCGCTTGCCCTGAATCATGTAGTTTATAAATAATATTATCTATTCGCGAAATTGGGAATCAATTGTTTCGTCTTCGACTTGACTTTTATTGGATTGAAGGCGATGTTGCGGCTCAGCTGGCTGACTGGTTGCCTGGCTGGCTTGCTATCTGGCAACGCTGCTTCAGCAACAAGTCTGCGCAACAAGTTAGCAAACTTTTACGACTGTTATGACCAACTTCGCGCTTACGGCATCATTTGCGGCCTCTTAAAGCTTTGCTTGCATAAAGTACCACACACACACACGCATTGAAACAGGCAAACGCTTGTGAGTGGAAGCGGGGGGGCAGCGCGACGCTGACGCCGACGTCGCGACGCTTAAACGTGTTCAAAAACAACTTCAAGTTGGCCGCGCATTCAGCTCTGCATGTGTGCGCCTGTGTATATATATATTTATATCGATATACATACATATGTGTGTGTGCACAAAAGACAAGATAAACAGGAGTACAGAGCACGGCCCGCCATGCCCGCATACCCTGCGCCCAATTCGGCAATCAGCGAACGCTTAGGCTGTGTGGCCGGCCTATACAATAAAAAGCAGACAAATAGATCAGAGCGCCGCTGCGACTGCGACTGCGACGTCAACTGAGCCACTCTTGCTTGTTGCTGCTGTGGTTTTTGCTTTTGCTTTTTGCGCTATATACGCATTCGCTGTGAATGTGTGTGTGCGTGTGTCTTCGGTTAGGCAAGTTTTCTGTCTGTCTGTCTGCCCGTCCGTGTATGTGTGTGTGCTGCTCGCCACATCTTTCATCTAGGTGAGAATTTCCCTTTCATTTGAAAATGAAAATAAGTTTACTTTTCTTTGCAGTCTGCGGGCTTCTACGCTGTGTGCATGCATATATGTATATGTTGTGTGTGTGTGTGTATGCCGTTGGCAACATTTGCTTTGTAGACATGTTGCGCTTGCTGCTGTGTAGCTGAGAGCTTTTATTGCTGCTAAGACCTTGCCTTGATTCTGCTTCATTTGTTTTTTGTTTTCTCACTTTGTGTTGCTTGCGCTGTGAGAGAGCTTGACGAAGTTCCGGTTCAATTTAGCACATCAACTCCCAAATTGACATTTTATGATTGTTTTTTTTTTTTAGCATAACAAATAACAGATACGATTACAATATATATTTAAATATATATGTGCGTGTGTTTGTTTGTATTTAAATATGAAAATATGTATTGGACGCTGTTAGGTAAGATTTCGTTGTTGCTGCCTTTGTGGCTTGGATTGACTTGGCTTGGTTTGGCTGCTGTTACCTTTGCTGTTGTTGTTGTCTCGTAAACACGTTCGCACACACACACACACACACACACACACAGATGTGTAGCCAGGTGTGTGTCTGTGTGATGCTGAAGACTGCCTGACTGACTAACTGGTTTATAACAGCAGCAGCAAAAACAACAACGACGACGACAGCAGCGACGTCGACGTCGACGTCGACGACGCAATATCCATAACCTCGATGAGCTAACACCAATACAAGCGTAGCATCGCGTGGAGAGTGAGTGTGTGTTAGAGCGAGAGGGCAAGAGATTCGCGCTTTATTCTGCGCACACAGATCAAAGCTAATGGAACAGGTAGAAGGCGGCCAAGGGGCCGTTAGGGGGTGGAATGCGGGTGTCCACACCGACACACACACATACACACATGCATAAACACGAACTGCGAATTGAAAATGAATACATAGTTATTATAGGTGTTATTTATATTGTTAAGGTAAAACCAACAGCAACAACAACCTGCACGAACAGGTAACTAAACAAAGCTGAAAGGGAATCGGGGGGCGTGGCAGCGTAGAGGGGGAGAGAAGCTAATGGCGCTTATATACTATATTCATTTACATGTTTATATACAGAGATAGACTACTGGAAAGGGGCGGGGGAATAACATTAACAATTAGTTACGAGTAGCTGTCAAAACTGGAAATTTAACTGAAAAGCAAAAGCAACAGCAGCAGCCGCAACAGCAGCGACAAATTTAGCGGATAAAGATTGAAAATAATGGGAAAATCAAGTTCTAAGAATTTCAATTAAAATGTGAGGGCTTTTTCAGAAGAATCAAAGCATTAAAGGTCGACACAAGTCGATGGCAATCGCAAATCGAATTAATCGATAAACGCAAGTTTGCAAAAAGTTTCCACTCAGCTGACAGTAATCGAAGCCATTGTTTTGCCTCACTCACACGACTCACTTCTTCCATCTCTTATCGCTTCAATTTGTCATTCTAGTCTCCAGTCTCTGCACTCCTTTCACAAAGTACACCATATAATAATACTCCATTGAGCTGGCTCTCCACTTTCCACTCTCTACTCCCTATTCACTATTCCCTGCTCTCTGCTCCTTGTTTCATACTCTCCACTCTCAACTCTCCACTCCCTTCTATTGTCTCCCTCATTCGATCGTTTTAATTGTCGCAAGGCAAATTTGACTTGGTAATTAACACATGGGGCACCCAGTCGGACGCTCGCAGCGACATCGACGTCGACGCAGCCAGCAGCTCCATCGTTTGTTTATCCCTCGCCCCCTCCTACTCCTTCTCTTTTTCTGCCTATCAGTGCAGCAGCTTTACCCCTAAGCAACAAAAGCAGCTGGTCAGCAATTTAGTGGGGGTTGGAAATGTGGGGAATGACATAGCATTCAACTGGGGGCAGGAGAAGGGCAGAGATGAAGGCGGTACCGAGATATGGGCACGTTGCTCAATCAATCGACAGTCGGTCGTTGGGTCCAATCGCAGTTGTTGTTATTATTGTTATTGTTGCTGTTGTTGTTTACTGTTTCTAAGTCGTCTCGGGCTGCTGTCATCCATCCAGTTGGCGAGTAATCAATGCACACACAAAACACACACACATATGTACATATGTATGTGTGTATGTATATATACACAGAAACTTGCAAGTCAAATATAATTCAACTCACTGATAAAGCACACAATGCGACGTGACGTTTGCAAATGTACGTGTGCATGCAAGCATGTGTGTGTGTGTGTATGTGTGCTATAGAGAACAGGATCGCCAAAGAGTAGAGAATGAAGCAATGCATATGCATATTGCATATACATACATATGTACGTACATATAAAGGCATATGCTCACACACACACACACACACACACACACACACACACACACACACACACACACACACTTAAATGTGTGTGAGAGAGTGCAAGAGTTTGAGCATTTTGGCTAACTGTAAGCATACATTTCGCAATGCACACACACACACACATGCATACATGCATATGCGAGTCAAGCTTTGTCGTTAAGTTTCGTCAAAGAAAAACCCAAGCAAAAATAAGAAAAAAAAAAAAACCAAATCAAAATGCACACAAAAAAAAGTAAACCAACCAGACGACAACAACAACAACAGCAGCTATTGCCACGTTATTATTTACATAATGTTGCCAAAGGCTGCAACGCAAGATGTAACAAACAAAAAAATGCGCAGCAAGCGCGAAAGGGCGGCGAAAAGACAGAGA